ACCTAGATTCACTTGTTAATCCAAGTAAAGTAGACCCATTCTGTCAATGGAATTTACACAAGTATTGATGACAAGCTTCCATTGATTCAATTGACTTACTCAATGTGGAAGTAACAATTGAAGTTAGATCTGTGGACGCCATTACAGCAATGGTTTAACAGTCTTTATCTGCAAGTCAGGACCATAAAAGAATCAGAGAGCTGTAAATTTAGATATGTTGAGGGAATGGTACAAGATTGACGGTCTTATAAGAATCATGATCATAAAATTAGATTATTGTTTAATTGTTCGCTAGCCTTATAATTAAATTACTGCTGATTGCTAGCATTTTTTTACATTTTCCCATAAATTAAATTAAGTTGCTAAGAAACAATTTCACACCCTATTGCTGTTTCATAAAGGGTTTTTTAAAAAAGTAAACCTTCTTTTGCCAAATTTTTTTTATGAATACAGCTCAGCATTGCTTTATGGATTTTAGTGCATCTACTCTAATCAAGTTCTCACTTTAGTGGACTTTATTGTTGGAATTTAAGGGATCATACCTGTATACAGAGGGAATGTGGGACACCTTTCTTAGTTCTTCATTCAGTACATTTATATCCCACCTTTTCTCCAATGAGCGGATGTCAGCATACATGGCTGTCTTCTGTCCACTTCATCCACAGACTGTGCAAGATAAATTAGGCTGAGAAAATGTGTACAATTCATGAGTCACTTATGGAGGTTTGTGGTTCAGTGGGGATTAGAACCTCCAAAGTCTCAGTTCAGTCAATGGGTGAGCAGCTACTAGGGCTTGAGATCACATGAACCTTCCCATGACACCATGAGAAGGTGTGTGTGTGTATATATGTATGTGTGTATATATGTATGTGTGTGTGTATATATATATATATATACACACTAGCTGTCCCCTGCCACGCGTTGCTGTGGCCCAGTCTGTTGAAAATAAAGTACTGAGAAAGTGTTGGTTTCTAATATTTGTAATTTCTTTCTGCTTGTGGGTAAACACTATTTCTTGCTGTTTCTTTGTCAGTGTTGATGTGGAGAGTGTCTGCTTTGCCCACCCTGGAACATGCAACATATCATTATCCTTCTTTAGGGGTCCCTTTCAAATCTATGATACTATATCTCTCTCTGTGTGTGAATCATATCTATCTATCTATCATCTATCTATCTATCTATCTATCTATCTATCTATCTATCTATCTATCTATCTATCTATATCTGTGGTTGGATGGCTCTTTGTCAGGAGGGCTTTGATTGTTTCCTTGTCCTGATGAAGGGAGTTGGATTGGATGGCCTTAAGTATTTTCTGATGGTCATGGGGGTTCTGTGTGGGAAGTTTGCCCCAATTCTGTCGTTGGTAGGGTTCAGAATGCTCTTTGACTGTAGGTGAATTATGAATCCCAGTGACTACAACTCCCAAATGTCAGGGTCTATTTCCCCAAACTCCATCTGTGTTCATATTTCGGCGTATTGAGTGCTTGTGCCAAGTTTGGTCCAGATCCATCCTTTGAAGTGCTCTCTGGATGTAGGTGAACTACAACTCCCAAACTCAAGGTCAATGCCCACCAAGCCCTTCTAGTGTTTTCTCTTGGTCATGGGAGTCCTGTATGCCAAGTTTGGTTCAATTCCATTGTTGATGGAGTTCAGAGTGCTCTTTGATTGTAGGTGGATTATAAATCCCAGCAACGACAACTCCCAAATGACAAAATCATAAATTTTTGAGTGAATGCTCACTCCTTGTGTTGTGAGACATTTTGTTGCCAAATTTGGTGTGATTTCATTCACTGGTTCTTTTGTTTTTAAGGTACTCATTATGCACAGAGCATATATATATATATATATATACGCATATACACATACACACACACACACACACATACATACATACATACACACACAGTATTTCTACCAAAATAGTTTTGCCTCCATGTAGCCAGTAGCATATCTGAACCTCCAGGAGATCCTATTGTGATTTCTGCTACTCTTAGAAACATTGGCCCAAAGACAGAAGTTCTGATACAAGTGCTTCGAAAGAGTTGTTGTTTGCTTTCAAATCATTTCTGATTTTAGGTAACCCTAAGGCAAACCATCATGGGGCTTTCTTGGCAGAATTTTTCAGAATGCATTGTTCTTTTCCCTTCCTTTAAGGCTGAGAGTATATGACATAAGGGGTCACAATTTCCCCAAATGTATCAGAGTGGTCAGTTGCTCCCCCTGGAGACTTGGTGATGATATTAGCCATTTTGGTATTTTTCCATTATCTGGGCAGAGGTCACAAGGGGGTGGTAGAGAGAAAAAGAAAGTCAATTTTATGGTGGGGGGAGTTGAAGGAGGAAAACAATTTCCCCTATTTTCACTGGTCATTCCCCTCCTCACTTCCCATTTCATAACTGAGTTTTGTTTCTATGACGCTAACATAGGTGGGGGGAATAAAAGAAAAACAGGGAGAAATGGTTTTCCTCCTTCAACCCACTCTTCACACCCGTACAATGGTCTATCCTTCTCTCTCTAGCACCCTCTTGTGGCCTTCGCCCAGATAATGGAACAGTGCCGCCATTTTTAATGAAAGAGGGCGAATTGAGCAGGCTGCATGAAGTCCATGGCCAACACTTCCTTCAACCTTGTTCTAGCCACTACACTGGCTTAAGAGAAGTTCAATCATCTCGTCTTCTAGGAAGAGTTCAGATTTGATTGTCTAGTAACTATTTGTTTTGGGGTTTTTGTACTAGCTGGTATCTGTAACACTTTCCTCCAGCACCACCTTTCAAATTTTGATTTTCTTCCTATTAGCTTTCTTTTCTGTCCATTTCTCAACCCCATACATAGAAATATGATGTCCTGGATGATCTCGGACTTTGGTATTCACTGAGATATGTTTACTTATGTTCAGCCATTCTAAGTCATAGGTTTCTATGACCCATTTTTTGCTAATTTTTGTTCCTGTTTTCAGGACTCCCAATATTTCCCAAGGCTAAATCTTTTTTCTTATTATTTACCAATTTTTACCAATAAATGAAAAACCACCCATTGTCTCAGTATTATTTATTTATTATTGCCTTGATTAACAGTGCAGCTCTTATCTGTGACGACATAATGCCACTACTGGTTGACAGCATTCAAAGCAGTGCTATGTTCACAAACAGTACAGATAGGTGCTGTACCATTTTTGCAAGGTACGTACATCCTGTGAACGAAGAGCAAAATGCCATCTTGTGAGCCATTGAATGAAGCACTCTATGAGATGGATCAAACAAAGTAGTCTCGGGCTTGCAGCATGCATAGTTGGTGAACCAATTATTGCAAGGAAATACAGCACATTTTTGGGCCTATTATCTTGGATCAAATCAGTGCATATATAAAAGGACAACAGTCTTGTTAACAAGTGTAGAATTCAACAGCATTGGTATGATTCCTAAACGAACTACTGCTGCCCCTAGAAGTCGTATGGGAGTTTCTAGTAGATGATTTTTATTCCCAGGAATGAGAGAATAAATCACAATTCTTGGGGGCCTTCTTGGTGGCCTCTATAGGAGAAAGGCCTGCTCTCAGCTTCCACAAACTAAAAGCTATGTACTGTCTCAGGGTGGCTTGAAATATTTTAGGATGGGTTATAAAGTGCTATAAAAATCTCTAGGCACTAATGCAAAGGGTTCCTGTTAGGAATATAAATATTCACTCATTTCATTCTTACATGCAAGTAAATATAATTCCAAAACTCTTCTCCCCACTAGTGAGTTTGGAAGAACGCTTTTTCAAACAATATTCTACATTTCAGCATTTATTTCTACAAAATATATTGTGCTTTTTGTACAGAAAATTGTATTGGGCACAAAATGTATGTGTTTTTATTAAAACGTTTTTTCTCAGATTTTTTTTTTTTTGCACAAAAACCTTTTTTGCTGGGAAAAAAATATTTTTGTACATGAGCTTTTCACCCAAAACTTTGAAACACTCTCCCAAAGTTGGTCATTTTTACGGGGCTTCTCAAAGACTCACAGGAGATTTTAAAACAATTTTTAAAAGATGGCTACACAGAATACAGGATTGGGTATATAGACATAATAACAAAATGTTCATGCATCCATCTTTGTCCACAGCAAATCTGTAATACCTGATATACCCTAGAATGCTGATCACCAACACAACAAGACATAGAACCTCATCAGACAAGGGGGTTTTCCCCATCTTAGCGCTCTGCTGAGATGGAACCAAGAGGGAGCTAGACGGAGCCCATCATATGACGCAGGGCTACTTCCGGTGGTACTCTGTCCTGGCTCCATCTCGGCAGTATGCTCAAAGGAAGCCCTGAGGATACGGGTGACTACTCATATCTTCACAGGAGGAAGCTGGGGAAAACAGGAAATCCTGTGGGATGACAAAGGGATGAAGCTGGGTGCTGCCCCATGGTTTCCCCTGCTGTCCCCTGCTTCTGGACCTCCATTTGATGAGGTCTATAGTGTGACCTAACTTTACGGCAGGACTGACAATCTCATATCAAAAACAGAAGATAGAATTTCATTTTGAACTCCCTTCAATGGAAAATTTGTCAGAATATTTAGCCATTTTATCATTAGAATTCATTCATTATTCCACCAAATTCCTAAGGTTTTTTTTTTAATTGTGTCAGAAGCGACTTGAGAAACTGCACGTTGTTTCTGATGTGAGAGAATTGGCCATCTGCAGAGACGTTGCCCAGATGTGTTACCATCCTGTGGGGGGCTTCTTTCATGTTCCCACATGGGAAGCTGGAGCTGACATACGGGAATTCACCCTGTCTCGTGGATGAGAGGGTGATGGCGAGGGAATGCTTATTTTCTTATCATTGAGAAAAAAATTGTGAATATTTGGCACTTCTTCTCATTAAAAATAAATCAAAATATGTTTCACTTATGAATTCTAGACTGCATGTAAACCATCTCTGCTGTTTCACATCCACCTAATGTCCCAACACAAATTCTCTGTCAGTCTAGACACTGGGCATAAATGTTTATGAGCCTGCAGTTTGCTTGGGTTTCCATTTGTATAAATGTGAGTTCAATCGACATTTCTCAGTTAAATTTACTGGTAGGGAATACACAAGAGTTAAGGACTCCAAGATAGTGAATTTAAATCAGAATCCTTCAGTAACACACAAAACTTTGCGAACACTCCAAAAGCTTCCCGAGAGCTGAGTGGGAGTGGCTTTGCCAAACAAAAGAGGAAAATGAGAAAAGCTTTCATAAATGAAAACAAATATGAGATTTCACCTATAATGGACAAGTAAATGTGCACTGTGCGCAATAAATATATTTATCTCTCTATCTCCCTCCCCCCCTCTATATATATTCAACTATCATTATATTAAAATATAAAGTATCTGTGCTTATTATACTTAAAGTTATGCACATGCCCTATGACTTTACATATATTAAACATTCTTTTTTTAAAAAAATAGTGAAATAAATACATAAGGATATCAACCTTCAGTAGATCATTTTCATTAAATGGAATATTTATATCTGTGCGAATATTAATTATTACTTAATAAAATTTGATGTACATCTTTATCGATTAATGTTTTTGGCCAATTATCTTAGAAAAATTTCCCAGTACCAGTGGGTTATTGCTAAATAGATAATTTTGTGCAAACTGAGACAAAAATAAAACTTTAAAAGTAGTATGTATCTACCCACCACAGACAAACTCTAGACAGTTGAATTTTCTTGGGTTTTCTGAGGGGTTTTTTCAGCAATAGTTGTATGGAAACGAAGTACAAGTTATTTTTTCCCAAGGAATCCCCAGGAAATTTCACAGGTTTTACTAATTCTTTGGAGGAAAGCCAGGGCTATTGAAATGACTGGTGAGAAAAGGGCAACCCTCTAAATATTGTTGGACTGCAACTCATGCTGGGCAGACCAGCTGGGACTGAGAACTGGATTCCAAAATCATCTGGAGGTCCACAGGTTCTTCCACACCCATGGTATAAATTGGCATAAAACCAATATCATTTTTAGCTGAGATATTTCTAGTTTATGTGCTTATGATATATAGGTTTATATATACCATATATAGGTATATTTCTTCTGGTGCATCTTAGGTAGCCTATAAATACCTACAAAACTAACAAACATGGACATTGAACCCTTCATGTGTGCAACCATTCAAAAGATTACTGGTGCAATCCTGTACACATCTAAGTATACTTAATTCCCTAGTAAGTTGAATGGGACTTACTCTCAGGACAACAGGCACAAGATTCAGCCTTAAAACTTTATCAGGGTAAACACTGATTTCCTACAAATGGCAGTGACATTTTGAGTCTTCTCAGTAGGTATTTGGACATTAGTGAAAGATCAGCTTTGGCACTCTGCTTCCATCCTTCCTTTAAGCAGATTTGCACATAAGAAGACAACGTGATCTACAAACCACTGTGCAACCACATCTTCAATGCAGGAGTAAATATGAGAACAGAGCCCATCACAGAAACCACCAAAAATAGCCACAGGAAGATGCGATCCAGAACCTGAGCAACAAACTTCCAGTCTTGTACGACCTAGAAAAGAAAAGATATACATGGGTTTATCTGGGGGTTTTTTTTCTTATTCCAGAGTCAGACAATTTGTAACCTTTCAGATCTTGATAGAATGTAGTCTTCGGATCTTTCCACCATTGGCTATGTTGGCTAGGACTGCTGGAATTGCACCCCAACAACATCTGGAGGCCCACACTGCCATGGGATAGTCAAAAATTTTGCACACTGAAAAACTATAATCGAATGTATTTTAATTGAAAAATTAATTAGAAACAAGTGATTTGGTGTGGTGGGATAAGAGGTCTCCGTTCTGGTTTCTCAGTTCAAGATCCACCACCATCTGCATCCATATAGCTCCCCGGTGCCTTTTGGGTGCTGCCTCCTATGGGTCTGCTGGGTATATAAGGCATGTAGATGCCCATAAACCGATGCACAATAGCTATATATAGATACACACCCCACCCCAAGGTAGCCATTAGCTGGCCCTGATGCAATAAATAGCACATGTGAGACATTTTGGCTTAATAGTCTATGTCTAAATTCAATTTGGATCAATTTGACTTTGGATCAATTTGACTAAATTTAGTTGACTAAACCTAGGTCTAGTTTTAATGGTGAATTTTAAACTTGAATATTATGTTTAATCTTTGCTCTGTATTTTAATATGTATTATGTTTTAATATGTGCTTTAAAATATGTATTTTAATATTTTAAGGAATGTTTTTAGATGAATGTGTGTTTTAGCAATGTTGCAACCTGCCTCGAGCCATGAGGAGAGGTGGGCAATACATTATTATTATTATTATTATTATTATTATTATTATTATTTATTATTAATTATTATTGATTGGACAATTTCCCAGTGGTTCAATAGATCTACTCTACCTGTGATGAACAATTGGATTTAGGCTTGAGTGCTGTTATGTCTGTGTGAGTGATTTAGTTCTTACTATTTCAGATACAATAGCAGTCAATTAACCCATGAAATGTGATATAATGTACTGTGTGTGAATGTGCCTCCAAAGTGTCTTTCAACTCATGGCAATGCCATGCATTTCACAGGGTTTTCTTAGGCAAGGGACACTGAAAAGTAGTTTTGCTGGTTCCTTCCTTCCTACATCACCTAGCATTCATTGACCATTTCCAATTCAAGTACTAGACAGGACTGACCCTGATTTGATACTAAGATCAGATGGCATCTGGTGACTTTAGAGTATTTAAGCAGACCTCATTGCCTAAATTAGATATGAGCTTCTGGGATGACAGTAGGCAGAAGCCAATCTCACCCTTTCTCATGCACCATGAAGGCCATACCATGCCCCCGAAGTGATGTGACATCCTTGGGGCTGCCCTATTTGGCTGATTTTGGCTGTTTTTTGAGGACTTGGGAGATGCTAGGACCTTTAGAGCCCAGAAAAAAATAACATGGGGTCTCAGAGGGAAATCTCATAGGCTGCAAAATGTGGCTCAGGAGTCTACATGCAGCTCATAGGTCACACGTTCCTCACAGTGACCCATATCAATCAACAAAAACAGAAACTGTGCTCTCCAAGAATTTGTGTTCTAGTGCTCTGCTAAGGTGCAAATTTACATATGTTAAAGATCAGATTTGCATCATCAATCAAAAAAAATTTTCAGGAGAAATTTTAGTTAATAATTTAAATTAGGACAGTTTCCTGATTATTTAACTCAACAGTTTAAATTATCTTGGCTGAGATCAAGCATTTTCTCAGAAATGAGTAACAAATTTTGACTCATGTTTAGTCTTATTTTTTCCAATCCAAATAAAACATATTCCTTTCAGAGTAAGCCATCATGTTCTGATCATTCTGGTAGTGTTGTCTACCACTCCATCTGTGCTAAGGAGTCGATTAATTCTAATTGCCACATTTGTAACGATAAGCACTGTCAACAGTTTGGACGAGCTATTTAAGGGACTAAAGCCCATGTAGAGTCATGAAATTCATTAATGTGCGTGATTATGAGAGAGAGAGAGAAGCCATAACATATCACACACTGCGTTGGAAGATTGAGCAGTTCTATTAGCCTTAGTCTATTTGAGGTGTTGGTAAAAAGAAAAAAATGGGTCAAACAGAAGGTAAGACATGGTTTAGCAAAGGATTTGGGGCAGTTCTAATGGATAATTTAGGACCAGGCCATGGATGGACATCACAGGTTCTCTTCCCAGTTTTGGTAGTTCTCATTGTGACTCTCTCTGCCACTGAGCCTACCAAATTCAGTGGCATAGTATCCACATTTATGCTTCCAAACTGTCCTCTTGGGTAGCTTACACCTTGTTTTAAAGCAGAATTTTACCCTGGAAGAATGCCTTAAAATATGTTGTCCACTCCCTGTGCACATGTATTTAAGTGATGTTTCCTGCTGCCACACCAATATATTTTGACAGCAGAGACAGAGGTATGACCCCTGCCATATCAGACAAGGATGAATGGGTTGCAACTTGTTCAGATCCCCTGTAATTGCTCATTTCTTGACTAAGTAAATTCTGGATGTAGGTAATCTTGGCCCGATTCTTCAACACTTCTTAAATTCTCAAGTGAAGTACTTTCAAAGGATCACCTTACACCAATTCGTTATGCCTTAACAACTGCAAGATCCTGAGTGTGCATGCTTATTTACTAAAGTTAAAACACATTAGCTGACCATCATGATTCTCACCTGAAAAGACTAGATTGAAATCAGTCCATGCTTGACCTCTAACATACCTGCCTGATGAAGTGTTCTTTTTTAACATGCCTGGAGATATACTTGATGGAATCTGCAGCCTTTTCCAAGAATGCAATCACGACTTTTTCTCCGTCTTTGAAATGTTTATGTTTATGTTTTCTCGCCAGCTTTTGTTTCAGCGTTCCTTCGGGATCGGAGAAGGAAAAGCGATCGACGTGCCCTTTCATGCAGAGCAGCCTGGGGAGTTTCTGCAAGAAAAGCCTTTTCACCCAGGGAGCCATCGGATGGTAGGTTGAGGAAGAGCGATGGTGCACGTTAATTACAAAAATCGTCACGATGATCGACAGCGTGACAAAAATCATAATGAACAACAAGTACTCGCCAATCAAGGGTATGACTTTGGAAGACGAAGGGATAATTTCTTCAATGACTAAGAGGAAAACAGTGAGGGAGACCAAAACAGAGGTTGAGAGTGAAAGTTTCTCTCCCTCATCCGAAGGCAAGTAAAACACCAGCACTGTTAAAAATGACAACCCCAGGCATGGGACTATTAAAAATAGAGTGTAAAAGAGTGGAAGGCGCCTGAGAACAAATGAATAGGTTATGAAAGGATAAGAATACAGTCCGTCTTTTCGGTTTCCCTTCATTCCCTTTGCATTCAGGATTTCCCATTCTCCATTATCAAAGAAATCTGTCCTGTCCACGTTTTCGTCGACTAGGATTAAGTCAACCATGTTGCCATCATAAGTCCACGATCCGAATTTCATTGAGCAGTTCTGTCTGTCAAATGGGAAGAAGGTCACATCCATAGTGCATGAACTTTTGTAACTGGCTGGAGGTGTCCAGACCACTATCCCGTTGTATTTGATAATTGCTTTTGTCATCAGTGAACCTTCAAAGCGCCCATCAGCACTGGAAAAGGGAGTTGGAAAAAATAAATATTTTTGAATGATATTTCAAGCTGGCTAGTTCATTTGTTTTTGTTTTTTTCTTTCCCTAATAATAATCATCATTATCTTTATTTGTACCCCACCACCATCTCCCCAAAAGGACTTGGGGCAGCTCACAGAAGCACTCCAAGCGCCATATGCAGACAACAATAAATACAGTGACATAAGTATAATCAACAGTACATAAAAATATCATTAATAAAATTATAAAAAATTGAAAAATATAACATTCCTAAAACACAGTGGAACCTGCCGACTGGTTATCTGTCATAACAATCAATCAAAGTGCGGGCCAGTACTATCAATGATTCCTCACATTGACCATTATTCAGGATCAAAGGCCTGTCTGAAGAGCCATGTTTTTATACTCACCGGGAAGGCCTGAAGAGAGGAGGAGCTAATCTAATTTCCCTAGCTTTAATAAGTGCTTTGAGAATTATGCTATGGCTCTGGGCATCAGTCTTCCAATCCCCACTCAGCCATAGAAACCCATTGGGCAACCTTGGACAGCTCACATTCTCTAAGCCTCAGAAGGAGGCAAAGGCCACCCCCTTCCCTAAACAAATCTTGTCCTGTGATAGGTTTATCCTAGAATAAGTCAGAAATGATGTGAAGGCCCACAACGACAACAACAATCTTTGGTAATAAGAGATAAGTATCCAATTGTGGACAATATGTAATTAATTACATTTATCAAACTTTAACATCAATCTCTTCTGAACTCAGTCATGTAGAACATCTTGTGTATCTGTGCTATGGGAACTCAGATATAAATGATAGCCAGGCTTGAAGCTTTAAGCACTAATCCTGGTTTATGTGCAAGGATTCTTATACTCACTTTTCAAATAAAACAATATCTGGAAGCCAGAGAGATTCCGATGGGACCCGAATGGCAGTGATCCCACCATAGTCTTCAGGGTTCCAGCACAATTTGTTGTCAATCCATTCCTGTAGTAATCCACAAAAGCAGCTAAATTACAGCAGAAAAATCAGCGACAGAAGTTATTCAAACCAAGGTCATATAGTTAATGAAAATCATGCAAGGTTCACAAAAAAAGCATTTTTTTTTTACAGACTGAGCATCCCTGATTGAGAATGATGAAATCTGAAATAACTACAAAATTTTCCATATGAGATAGTGACAGCTTGGCTTTCTGATGATTGTATACAAACCTTGTTTCATGCAGAAAGTTATTGAAATATTGTATATAAGTTTACCTCCAGGAAACTTATATACAACATATACAAACCTGAGCCCTGCCACATGCACAATGGAGGACCTCTTGCAGCAACGCCAGAGGCACCCCAAGTCGGCCAGATACTGGTCAAAGGACATTTAATCAACTACCAAGTTTGCAAAATCTGTGGTTTTTTTTTATCTGTTTGTTTGTTTTGTTCTGTTAGAAATGTAATACAATGGTATGGTTGCTGATGACATGATAAATAAATAAATAACCTCCAGGATATGTGTATGAAACAAAATTGAATTTTGTGCTTATACTTGCATCCTGTCTCCAAGCTACATCATGCAATTTTTCCAAATCCAGATCTGAAATCTCAAAACTTTTGGTCTCAAACATATTGGAAAAGGGATGTTCAATCTGTATGTGCTGAATCATTTATATGACTCAAACCTCAATGTAACCAGCTTAGGTCTTAGAAATGCTAAGGCTCCTGTAAAGCAAACTTCAGATGGATTTGGAGTATAATTTCCATAATCCCCATGAAGGATTTGAGGGGTTATGGGAATTATAACCCAAATGCATCTGAAAAGTTGGGAAAGGTTGTCCCAGATAGAGTAAGCTCCTCCAAATGGGACATGTGTTATCAGGAGGTTGCAAGAATTTTTTGCTGTAGTACTCAGGGTTTTTGAAAGATTAAAAAGACATTTGTCCTGGCATTAGCTGTGACATTATTCTTACCCTCAAGTGAGTTTCTTGTTTAATTCTCTTCTTCCTTTTTCTTGTACGTTTTTTAAAGCCATGGTGCTATAGTGCATTAGCGAAACAAACAATGCAATGGAGCTTCTGAATTGCCTTCAGTTGTGAGGGGACCATTGGAAATGTCTGTGTGTTTTAAGTGCCTTTAAAAGCAGCTTGGTCTCTGCAAACATTAGCAAGTGATAGTAATTATTTTTGTCTCATACAAAGTCTCCTGTGTTGATTTCATATGTGTGTGTGTGCCTTCAAGTCGCTTGTCAACCTACGATGACCCCATTAATTTTGCAAGGTTTTCTTAGGCAAGCAATACTCAGAGCTGGTTTTGACAGTTCTTTCCTTTGAAATATAGCCTAAAGCACCAATACTTGATTGGTGGTCTCCCAGTCAAGTACTGGTGCTTAGGGTATAGATTTAGCCACCCAGAAAACAAACAAAACAAAGACTGGCCAAATTGTTTTCTTTCCCCTGATTCAATGTTGACTTCATACTGCAGTGCGTGACTCAAACTATCTCAGCATGACAACTTGCTTACCGTAATAAAAAGAAAAGAGAGTAGCTCTCCATTTATATCTATTATTTATAAGTTTTAAGGTTGCCCTGTGGGAAGGCAAGAGAAGAATGAGCATACTACCTAAAATCAATGCCAGCAACAAAAGCATCTTCCTGCACAGAATTCAGGACTCATAAAACCTACGTCCTCTTTGCAACTCCCTCATGCTCTTTATTATTTCTGAAGTACTGAGGAATTTTCCCAGAACCTTCTTTTTATGTTGCACTTGTGCCATGTGTTGTAAAACTGAAAAGAAATTAAATACTCAATTCTGAGATATACTTTCCTTCCATATCAACATCTCTAAAAATGTGGTGAATCTTAGAATCATGAGTGATTTTTTAATATACCGTATTTCTTTGATTCTAAGATATGCTTTCCCACCTATATAAACACTAGCTGTCCCCTGCCACGCGTTGCTGTGGCCCAGTCTGCTGATCTGGAAAAGTAACAGAAAGTGTTGGTTTCTAATGTATGTAATTTCTTTATGCTTGTGGGTAAACAGTATTTCTTGCTGTTTCTTTGTCAGTGTTAATGTGGAGAGTGTTTGGTTTGCCCACCCTGGAACATGCAACATATCATTGTCCTTCTTTAAGGGTCCCTTTCAAACCTATATCCATGTGTGTGTGAATCATATCTATCTATCTATCTGTCTGTCTTTCTGTCTGTCTGTCTGTCTGTCTGTCTATCTATCTATCTATATCTATGGCTGGATGACTCTTTGTCAGGAGGACTTTGATTACGTTTTCTTGCTCTGATGAAGAGAGTAGGATTGAATGGCCTTAAATATTTTCTGATGGTCATGGGGGTTCTGTGTGGGAAGTTTGCCCCGATTCTGTCATTCGTGGGGTTCAGAATGCTCTTTGATTGTAGGTGAACTGTGAAACCCAGTGACTACAACTCTCAAATGTCAAGGTCTATTTTCCCCAAACTCCATCTGTGTTCATATTTGGGCGTATTGAGTGCTTCTGCCAAGTTTGGTCCAGATCCATCATTGTTTGAGTCCACAGTGCTCTCTGGATGTAGGTGAACTACAACTCCAAAACTCAAGGTCAATGCCCACCAAACCCTTCCAGTATTTTCTGTTGGTCATGGGAGTTCTGTGTGCCAAGTTTGGTTCAATTCCATCATTGATGGAATTCAGAATGCTCTTTGATTGTAGGTGAACTATAAATCCCAGCAACTACAACTTCCAAATGACAAAATCATAATTTTTTGAGTGATGGTCACTCCTTGTGCTGTGAGACATTTTGTTGCCAAATTTGGTGTGATTTCGTTCATTGGTTCTTTTGTTCTTAAGGTACTCATTATGCACAGAGCATTTATATATATAGATTACTAAAAATGAAGTGCATCTGAGAATTGTGGGTGCTTTTTGAAATATAAATAAAGGTGGGTGTTTTTCTGTAGGTGGTACTGAATTTACTGTGCATCTCATAAGCGATGGTGTCTAAGAATTGATGGAATACAGTATATATAGCTTTTTCAGTTGATGGTACTTAAATTAGTGTGCGCCTTACAATTGATGGTGACTTAGAATCAAATATGGTACACACACCTCTCTTCCCCGTCTGTTTCTAACAGCAAGACAGACTGCAATCTCATGGGACTTTTTCGCACACGCTTATAGCTCTATTATTTCAGTTTGCTTAGAAAGTGAGGTGAAATCTTCTGAACAGGAGCACAGACATCAAAACAAACACTGCTTCCCTTTGCTACCCAAAGCTTGTATGAGTGTGCGTGTGTGTGTGGCTGGAGTTACATGTTTAAAGGTACCTGTTCCAACTTACATACAAATTCAACTTAAGAACAAACCTACAGAACTTATCTTGCTCATAACTTGGGGACTGCCTGTACTAGCTGATTTACAAATAAGCCCCATGTCCCATTCTCTGAAATGATCTTCAGAACCTCTTTCTGCCCACCTACTGTTCCTCAGCTTTCACAAAAGACTCCTCTGCAATACAAACACACACCATTTTTAAGAAGTGTGTTTGCTTTAGGGTTGCCGATTCAGGATCATCTCAGGCCTAGGGACAGCCTATGGTAATGACATCAAGCATTGTGCACGATGTTATTAACCACAGTTGCTTACAGCTTACCATTCAAATTCATGCACACGCATATGTTCTATTTGAAAATTAAGATAAAAATCTTAACTTAAAGGAATGTCCCAGATCAAAGGAAAATTCACTTAGGGGACAGGAGATAAGGAATATTTATTCTAGCCTACTTGTTCAACTTGTTTCTAGCCAGAAAGAGGATACAGAGCAGAGTGGAAAATGAAACCAAATACCATAATGACTGAAGGAGTGCTGGAGGGTGGGTAACATAGTAAATATATTAGATGTTTAGAGGATCATTGCAAGTTCTAGCAAGAAATCAATTAAGCCTTGCCAATTAGGCTGAAGATTTGCACCCAAGCTTTTCTAATTGCCTACAACCGAGCCCACCCAAACTGGAGAAATTGCACCCTTATTACCTAGTTAGGGCTGGCCTATGAGGGCCAGGGATTGAGATAGTGGGCAGAAGATACTGGATATACTCATGTATAAGTCTAGAAAGTATGGTAAAAAAAACTTATCCATGGGTCAATATAAATACTGTATCTTAGCTCTTGTCAAAAAAAGGAATTATTCTCGAAGGCTTTCATGACCAGAATCACTGGATTGTTGTAGGTTTTTTCGGGCTGTATGGCCATGTTCTAGAGGCATTCTCTCCTGACATTTCACCTGCACCTATGGCAAGCATCCTCAGAGGTTGTGAGGTCTTGAATTATTCCTTTCTCTGAGTAGAGTGGCAAAAGGTAACAGCTTAGGCTGTCTCAAGAAGACTTAAAAGAAGCACTGATCTATATTCTCCCCACCATGACACCACTTTTGACCTTTTTGAATGGCAGGATGGGAAAATGGGGCCAGCGCCACTTGTGCTTTCTCCATTCCATGGAATGAACCTTGACTTATAAATGAGGTTGACTTGTACACAAATATATACAGTACTTGGAGTTCGATTTGAGGTTCAGAAATGGCAAGAGAGGAAAAGAATGAAGTCACCCTTCCTCCCCATTTAAATCTTCACCCTCAAGTGTTCTTTTTACATACATATTGGAGTGCCGTAACATAGATTTATACACAGTGTATAGTTGGGCCCTTAGTCTTTTAATTCCATTTGGCAATTCCTAGTTAAGCTGCTCTGTATAATGTATGAAAGCATTCTTCCTCCTCTTTGATGCTTACACGCTTTGGTTACTAATAATCAATTATAGCCTGTGAGTATATGATGTGTGCTTAATCCTCTCCACTGCTTTGCCTTATGCCGCTTTCTCCATGACCTCTGAATTTGGTTTTGTGCTACATTGTTCATCTTGGAAGATCGCAAAGAGTACAAAAATATTGGAATTACATGGGTAAACTGTTTTCATTGTTCAATGGTTCTAGGTTTTAATTGTTCAAGGGGTGGTATTAATTGTTCAAGGGGTGGTATTTTTCATAATTTGATTGAAAATTATTTCTCTCCTCCTCAAAAAAAAGATTTAGTGATATAGATCAGGATAGAAATATGTTAACAACAAGCTTGCTAACAGGAGCGCCGCTCAGGGAGCACACAACTCCTCTGTTGCACCAGCTCCACTGGCTGCCTGTTTGCTCCCAGGCACAATTCAAAGTGCTGGCTTTAGCCTATAAAGCCCTAAACGGTTTCGGTCCAACTTACCTATCCAAACATATCTCTCCTTATGAGCCATCTTGGACATTAAGATCTTCTGGGGAGGCCCTACTCTCAGCCCCACCTTCCTCGCAGATGCATCTGGCAAGGATGAGAGACAGGGCCTTCTCAGCGATGGCCCCTTGACTGTGGAACGCCTTGCCTAGAGATATAAGATCAACTCCCTCCCTCTTGACTTTTCCAAAAAAAAAGGTGAAAACCTGGCTTTTTGAGCAGGCCTTCCAAATATGGCATAGCTATATGGAATCATAGAACTTACTTGATAACACAATGGAATAATGGGTTGACATGGAGACACTCACGATAATGTTTTAGGGCTTTGTACGGTTTGTATATTTTTATATCATATGTTATTGTTTTTAACAGAATTTAATGATTGTTTTTACTTCTTATAATTGTTGAGGCATCGAATTGTTGCCAATCTGTGAACCGCTCCGAGTCGTCTCTGGGCTGAGAGGGGCAGTATATTAAAATGGCAAATAAATAAATAAATAAATAAATAATAGTAAGGATTCTCCTCAATATGTGAACGTAGGAATTCCTAGGAATGTGCTGTTTGCCACAAAAGCTAATCTGGTTGAAAGCCTCTCTAATTTCTCCAGAGGACAACAATATAGGTTCCCTGTCCTTTTTTGTATCTAGCAAACCTAGAGCAGCCCATAAAAAAAGAAGTCGAAGCAGCACAACTTGCAGCCAAGAGTTTCAGACTGTGTGTGCATATAAGAAACAAACAAAAGGCAGTTACGTGATTCAGATGGGGGTGGAAAATGCCTTTCTACATTGACTGAAGGAAGCTCAAGGCTACTGAATGACATTATTAATCACTCCTGTGTCCTCCAAGACAGAATTAATAGTCCCCGAGGGCTGCCATGGCCTGCTTTGCCAACAGAGTGAGCAAAGGGTACTCTTACATGCCCAGTCCTGCAGCACAAATGACAAAGAAAGGGAGCATTTCTTTTACTTGGGATTCCAATGGTCCATCTTAGCCCCAACTCAGCAAGCCTATAGCCAGGAATTTGGAGATGTCTGTGGAAAGCTTTATCAAGCCTTATCGCACCAACCCATTGTTTGGCATCGTTTCACTGAGAAAGCTTTTCCCGCATCTTGGAAAACTAGCAAGAACACAGTGTTATATTTTGCACCATCATAGCAGTGCCCGTTCAGTGGCATTTGTTTTCATAGATGCCTTTTTGTATCTATGAAAACAGCCTTGACCTCACTCTCTTTCCTCCCCCTTCTTTCCCATGATATGATGCTGTTGCCATTGAGCATCCATACATCCAAAACCAACACCATCCCTTACCAGGAAGCTACTCTTGTGTGAGTGCATTGATCTGCTATCCTACCACAATCATGTCTTGTATATACTTTTCACCCAGAAAGCCATTCTAAGATAGATCAAGGGACATATTCCGATGGGAACCCAAATACACACAACTTTTTTTTACATTTTTCCAAGATCTATCACTTGCCTGGTTCTGTTTTCATATATTTTAAGTGTTTATGTGTACGTGATATTTCTGTTCAATTCATAGCATAACTGCAGTCCTAATGTACTGTGATGTCAGTTATTTTTAAAATAAATAATAGTTATTGAGAATTTTCCTTAAAATCAATTAAAATTCTTAAAAGGAAAGGAATAGAAAGAAAAGAAAAAGAGAAAAAAGAGTGAAAAATAGAAAAATAGAATATTGTGATCTTTGTTATGTGGTGGTTTGCAGTGGTGTCTTTAAATTGAATCTGGATTACCATCCTACTGAAAAGTAAATGAAACACACTACCTGAAGTGAAGTAAAGTTTAAGTAAAGCTTAAAATAAATTGTAAAAAAAATCAAAGTTATTCGGTGCCATTTTGTGGAAGTTATTTAAGGGTAGCTTTAGATTAAGAATCAATCATTTTCAACAGAATTTTAATAAGACTTAGAAGTGTCACATTTTTCCCACAAACACACTTTTCCGGCAAAAGATTGTTTTCATACTGGGCCATGTTCACTGGAGTTAGTGTCACAGGACCAGCATGGAATTGAAAACGTGAATAATTTAACCTGAGAAAACACCTCTCTAGGAATTTCTGGGTCTTCAAGCACAATTCTGTTGTCAGCTTCCACTGGAAACTGACCACAGAATTGCAATGGAGGACACAGAGATTCCATTAAAGTCAAAAATGCAAATACAGGGGTGACTTTAGAATATTGTCTGCCTGTCTTTGTCTTGTTATATTTTTTACCAGCCATCCCCTGCCACATGTTGCTGTGGCCTGTCTGTGTTTATGTGTTTTGTGTGTGTATGTATGTGTATATATATATGTGGTTTTGCACATACGTTGCTATGTAATTTTTTTTGCTTTTTAACTCTCTTCCACTGTGTTTTTCTGTGTTTTATGAATGATGGTCACTCATTGGCCTGATAGGTGTCTTGTGTCCAAATTTGGTGTCAATTCGTCCAGTGGTTTTTGAGTTATGTTAAGCCCACAAACAAACATTACATTTATATTTATATAGATATGTGAAAGCACTGGAGAATGACTTAAGAAAACAACCAATGAAATTTCAAGGCAGTGGTTGACATCTCAGGCTCCCATCTAGCCCTGCATCAACTGTATGGATGAAGGTTGCTCTAAAATGCTCAAATCATAGAGTAGTGAAGTTAAAGCAAATGTCTTTGTTCTGCTAAACAAAGAGAAAATGCATGGCAGTCAAAGGAAGAAACCTTCCCTGCGTGGTGCAACCCACCTTCTGTGTCAATTTCCTTCACAGAAACCAGCAGTTGCCGGTCCAGCCTCTGCACTTAACAGAGTCCCAAAGCTGTAGATATGGCTCACATCTCTTGAATGAGGAAAGCATTAGCCTGGTGCAACCTCTTTTAATGAGTGAATGTGCTCATTTGTTGTAATCCATTTCTATGAAACTTGCTTTTTAGAGATTTTTGTGCACGTTGAACAAATCTGATTTCAGGATTCTCAAAGACACTTACTGTAGCTTGTGGGAATTTCTGTAGTGTTTAATAATAATAATAATAATAATAATAATAATAATAATAATAAAATAGTCGTCGTCGTTATCATCATCATCATCATCATCATCATCATCAGTTTCCCCAAAATTTCGATGAGGCCTAGTGGGCTTTTTTTCTCATATTAATGGGGGAATGCTGTCCAGTTTGGGCACATCCTACACATTCCTGAGAAATCTCACCAGTGCTGGTCATGTTGTCTTGAGCAACACTTTTATTAGCAACCAAGTTTCTCACAGAGTAACTCAGAAGCACGGTTTGGAAAATGTTGTGTTGGAAGTCATTTTCCGCCATGAATGCATATGCTGCTTTACAGATTTACTAAACCTATTTACATAGACAATCAATCAACATTATCCTCAAGTCATAACCCATCAGACCATAGTATCTGGGATGTAAGCCAGCTTATATCCACTGAGGTCAATGGGGCTATATTTCCTTTAATTCAAAACCCCTGTCTCCATACTGTTGTAAAATATTTACAAGACACCATCAAAATTGTAGACTCTTGGCAATCATGAGGTATTCAAAACAAAGTCTTTAAAACAAAACTGTGCCATTTATATTTTACCTGTTTTAGCCACACATTAGTTGTCATCAGCTGATTCTTTTCATCCTAAGGAGAGGGAGATAAGAAATCTTCAGTTTCTTCTGAAGGAAACAAAACTTCCCATCATCTGCTCAGCCTAAGAGGACACTATGCTTTCAAAACTGTCCAGAAAGTCCTATTTCCCATGAGAGTTCCTATATGAGCTGAGTTATTAAACTAACCAACCCTTTAATGATACACCTGGTTCAGTTAACATTGCTATTTGTATTTAATGGTGGGAAGAGATGTGTAGCCCTACTTAGCAATTACTAAGATAGCTCTTATGCTTGAGTTACATCCACTGAAAGCTGTTCTTAAGCCTTTTATAGCTGCACAACTAATTCCTTTCCTACCATCAGCATGATGGTGGGGAAGTACTTTGCTCCCTTCTAGCGAAGGGAAGACAAAGAGTTAAAAGTCCCGGCAAGGACTTGTTGTGGGCGGGGCCTAGGTGAATTGAGCTCAGCCCACCTCACTTGGCCTGAGTCCACAGGAAGGGGGAGTACGCTACAGTCTCTACCTGTTACCTGAAGAGTTCCCATAGGAGCAACATGTGGGTTGCATCCGGGAATTATGGTGTCTCGCCCTTGTCGGAGGATGACGTAGTCATGCGGGGCCACTGCCTCATCTGATTAATAACAAATTCAAGTTCAAATTCAAGTTCAGGTTCAAGTTCACTGTCAAGTTAAAATTCATGTTCAAGTTTATGTTGATTGATAAATTGGATTGGATAATCACACAGAGATTGTTTGGTAACATATAATAAAAGTTGCCCATAGTTAACCCACAACATGGTCTTGTCTGGTGATTTCGCCGGTTGGAGAGCAAAAGGGAACCAGCTGTTTGGGTTTTCCCTTTCAGTGTGGTTATCTAATGACTCAAGGCTAGTACAGAACCAATAGGGATGAACACATCTTCTTCCCTATATCTCTTTAAAAAAAAAGATGGGAGCATGAAACTCTTCCTGGCCCAATCCTTTCAGATAAAATGAGCAGGCAAAGGGGCAAGGAGAATGGTAGGGTGAATGCTGAGGCTACACTACCCTGGTTGCTCTGTTCTGCTCCCAACTAAGCCATTTCTCGCCAGGCAGTGACCAGCAAAATAGTTCCAGACAAAGGTACTTGCCACCATCTTTGTTTACCAGAGTTCTTCTTTGACCCAGAAGGATGTAAAAGAGGTAGAGGCAAGGCTGCAGTAAACTCAGGGCGCTTCCAGACAGAACACCAATCTGTGCCAAAGCAGATATAAAAAACCCCACTTTGGTGCAGATTTGAGTTCCCTCTCCTCTGAAAAAACCCACCCCCAGTCTCCTGGCTCATCATTTCCTCGTGCCAGGAGGGCACAAGGAGGGAACTTATGGTAGCCAGTACATTTTACTTAACTCTTAGGGGTAAATTTGGGGCTGGGAGGAGAGAGTGGGTGCCATCCCACACCTTTGGGCTCCAGGAGCCCAAAAGGTGCAATATGAAAATGGGGACTCACCCCTGGGTAGTCCCAGGATGACCTGGAAGTGAGTCCCCACAGACCCAATACCTCATTAGACCGGGGCCTTTCAGGTCAATTTGGTTTTACCAGAGGTCTCTTCTGGATACCTCCAGTAAAAACTAAGACAGGTTCCAGGATATGGGCCTGTATGGATGGGCTGTCCAGACTTGTTCTCTAATTGTTTTTCTAATTGAGGAGTCAACCATCCCGGTTGCATATACCCTCCACCCCTAGCTCTGGCCTAATTCAGCTCCGATGGAATAAGGGAGACATGCCAGATCAAACCAAAAACCTACCACATCTACCAGCTGGGATATCTTCAATCCAAAGTAGACCTTAATAGTATCGTTGGAATGTCTCACTGGTCTGATCCATTTCTGGTACCCGCGAAATAAGTGCCGTAAAAGTGCATCTTCATTCTCAGCAAATGAGCTGAATACAGTGAAAGCTGAAAGAAGGGCAAGAGAATAAGGAGGAAAATGAGAATCAATGTCGAGATATTATCCAAATACAGTAAAATCAAAATCCATGGAAAAACTCAGTAGACTTTTGCCACAAGCTTTAATTTTCCTCTGTGGCCATAAGAAGAATGATAGCAGAGGACCTAACCCATTACACCACACCATTATAAATAGCAAATACCAGATGTCATGAATGTAATGTTAGATAACCAGTATAGCTAATTATATCCAAATCTGGTGCAGAAGTACTTGGCTATAATATTATGATTCCAAACTGGATCAAGATTAAGTGGTGTAAAGCTAAAGGGGAAGAAAAGTGAGGAAGGTATTAAGCCAGCAAAAGAGAGCTTTTTTCATAAGCCGTAGAAAATGAAGAAATGTGTTTGAGTTATACCATTTGATGTAATCATTGTGAGGAGTTGGAGGATTTTAAAAATGCATGAGATGTATTAGAGAAGCATCCCAAAGGCATTAATCCTTTGGTTCAAAAATAAATTGAAGGGAGAGAAGAAGGGGGAAAAAGATGACTGTCCTGTGCTGATAAGTGTTGTAATAATTAAGAGGCACAGAAAAAGATCGAAATAATAACAATAAGTGTTCTTAATATTCTCTTCTGTTTAGGACTAACTACTCAGTGCTGGCAATATCCTGCCCACAATAGGAATCTAAAATGGAGTATTTCTAGCCTGGCAACCAGCTAATAATGTCATCAGCTTTTTTTTATCCAGAATTTTATAAATAACTGTGCATTTAAAATCCACTGTGTACAGACTGGTCCATCTTCAAATCACTACACCAGAAACTCTGACATATAAGAAGGTTGTGGTATTGTGCTAATGGATATTGTTTAATAAGCCAGAAGGGCTGATCCATTAATGCTGTTAAAGATATTATCCAATGGAAACAACATATGCAGATGGTTCAGAGAAGTGCAACCCTTTTTGCAAGGAGTTTTTGTTTTGGACCGAGCTCGTTGAACAAGGTTTCATCTATACGAGGATAACTTTGAATATCATAGATATTCAATGTTATGGAGGGCATAGAAAAATGCAGAAAGAAGTGTTCTCTCTGGACATCTAGCAGAAGTGTATGATCAATTTCCACTAGAATTTCCACTACAAGCTCACTCTGTTATAAATGATTACCCTTTCAACACGTTATAGGTATAAATAGAAAATATGTCTAGTAATTATTGGTATGTATATTCTGACTGCGCTCCCTCATTTCTTTTAAAACCCTATACCAGATACATCCTACTTTGTTCATGCCCAGTGTTCATTTTTTAAATTTTAAATTATTACATTTGGCCCGGCCATAGGTTTTTAAATCCTTATGTGCTATTGTTTATTGTTTATATGCGATTTATATTAATTGTATTGTATTTATTGTTTTTGTTTATATTGATGTGTTGTTGGGCTTGGCCTCATGTAAGCCAATCCAAGTACCTTGGGGAGATGGTGACGGGGTATAAATAAGGCTTTATTATTATTATTATTATTATTATTATTATTAATAATAATAATAATAATAATTTGGCAGAGAATCGTTCCCATTAATCCTCTCTCATCCCACTTTTTCCATCTTCTTTTAAAATGCCGTAGTTAATAATATTTATTTATTTACAGCTTTTATATTCTGCCCTTCTCACCCCGCAGGGGACTCAGGGCGGATTACAGTGTACACATATATGGCAAACATTCAATGACAGTTTTTGACATACAAACATATACAGACATACACAGAGGCTATTTAACTTTTTCTGGCCGCCAGGGAAGCTGTCGCTTTCATCGTCCATCTGAGACGCTGATGAAGCAGTTCCGCATTCCCCGCATGCTTCCCCGCTGGAATGCTTTGCTGGAGTCTTCTTTATGGCCTCATAAATCAGTTAATTTAGCCTCCCCACACTTTAAGGTGGTACCTTATTTTCCTACTTGACAGATGCAACTGTCTTTCGGGTTGCAAAGGTCAACAACAGGCTATATGTTATAATAATAATAATAATAATAATAATAATAATAATAATAATACTTTATTTGCATTCTGCCCAATTTCAGCATATATAGACACAAAGACAAACATTCAATGCCTCGAAATAACAATACACAGATAAAGGTAAAGCCTTCCCCTTTCATCCCCGGCTCTGTGAGGTGGTGCTCATCTCCATTTCTAAGCCAGCATTGTCCATAGATGCCTCCAAAGTCACATGGCTAGCATGACTGAATGGAGAGCCATCTACTTCCCACCGAGCTGATACCTATTGATCTACTCACATGTTTTCAAACTGCTAGATTGGCAGAAGCTGGGGCTAACAATGGAAGCTCACCCTGTCCCGCAAATTTGAACCACCAACCTTCTGGTCAGCAAGTTCAACAACTCTGTGGTTTAACTCGTTGCACAACCACGGCCCCTTCCTCTTCCCTTTCCCTTTTGCTCTTAGGTTACTTCAGTTACTGCAAATTGATTTCAATGAGCAAATGTAGTTTTCCCTTAATTGACTCAGCTGAGGAGGAGAGGAAAGGCAGACTCTTGTCTTTCCCTGTCAACTCAGACAAAAAATAGCTGGTTTCATCTGTGCAATGCTGGAATGTTTGTTAGCAGCTTTAGCCTCCAAACCAGGACTTAAGAAAAATATTTCTGAAGTGAGAAAGTGCTTCCATGGAAATGTTATTGACCATTTTCAGAATGAACTGAAATTGCACCCTGAGCTCAGATTTCACTTCTGCCATAACTTCATTAAGTGCATTAAGCAAGTCAATATTCCTCTGCTTCAGTCCTTCCCTGAGGTTGAGTGCATATGGGGTCATAAGACTGCCTTATTTACAAAGGATTACAGAGATAATGTATGTGAAATGTTTGCAGGCATTAAAAGTACACTATAACTGCTAAGTGTTGCCACTATGAGAAACTGCATGACACAGTTGCTTTAATGTTGGAAAAGGAAAGTGGTAGACCAGGGTTCGAATCCGTACTCAGCCATCATGGACACCCACTAGGTTGTGTGTGTGTGTGTGAGAGAGAGAAGTGAATTGGAGTCACTTCTGGTGTGAGAGAATTTGCCATCTACAAGGATGCTGCCCAGGGGATGCCCAACTGTGTTACCATCCTTTGGGAGGCTTCTTTCATGTCCTCGCATGGGAAGCTGGGGCTGACAAACAGGCACTCATCCCGTCTCGCAGATTCGAACCATGACCTTCAGATCTTTAGGTCAGCAGTTCAGCCAGCACAAGGGTTTAACCCATTGTGCCATCGTGGCTCTAGGTGACCTTAGGTAAGTCACACTCTCTCTGCCTAAGAAAAAGGCAAAGGCAAATCCTTCTGAACAATCCTGGCAAGAAACCCCCATGGTAGATTTGTTTAGGTCTGCCGTAAGTCAGCAATGGTTTTAAGACTCACAACATTAGCATTACCACTACTATTAGTATAGATGACAACATATGTTTCTCCAGGGACATGCCCCATTAGTTTCAATGGGATTAATTCTCAGGAAAGTAAGTATTTAGAATTTCAAACACAAGGAGCATTCTGTAACCTCTGGAATAACTGTATTGTATTTTGTAGTCAATGTTTGTTTGTTTTTAGACCAGGGCTTCTGAAACCTTTTCCACTTGCAACCTCTTTCCAATGGGACCCCAGGTATATAAGTATATAAAATAGGTATAAAAATCAAACATTTGCTAAGAGTAAATCAGCATTTGCAAGGCTTGCAAAGAGGGCAGATGTTCGTTTTTATGAAGTACAGTTGAAGCATCTCCTGCAGAGTCCACCGTGAATACTGCACACTGTTGCCTACAGATTTGTGTAAATGTCTAAAACATTCAGTAGGTGACATTCAGAAACTTTTTACCATTGCCAAACTTTTCATGACCTCAACATTGAGCTATGAGCACCCCATTAGGGATCAGGACCCACTGTTTAACAAGCAGTGTTTTAGACCACTGGTGGACAACACTCAACATATAAACCCCATCCATTTTGTGGTTCCCCCATAGATCCTATGCATCTACAGGCCCTTCCAGACAGGCTCTATATCCCAGGATCTGATCCCAGGTGTTCTGTTTATCCCAGATGATCTGGTAATGCGGACTCATATAATCCAGTTTAAGGCAGAAAACCTGGGATCAGATCTTGTGACATGTTGCCTTTCTGGAAGGGGCCTATGATTCCTAGATATCAGGTCCCAGATCTTCTCCAGTTTTCAGGGCAGAGGAGAAATCACAAGGTGAGAGCACTGCCTTCAAAATTATGCACCTCTATTAGTTCTTAGTAGCAGCCACTGCAGAGAGCTTAATGTGGAAAATGTAGCCTAGAAAACTTTCTTTAATTGAACTATAATGTCCACGTGCTTTTGAAAATAATGTTAAAAGTGTTAAAAATAAAACTGCATAAATCTGCCACTCATTCAGTGCAGAGCTTGGAAAACTTAATTTCCAACTAGAGTCCTGTAATATTTTCACATTTATTAGATCTGGTGTTTCTTATTTGAACTACTTAATGTATTATGTTTAAACACGTGAGCAGAAGGTATCTCTAGATCTCAGATTTTGACCTAGGATGCTGCTGACCTGATAATGCAAGTTGGGGGAAAAGTACATTATATTATTAAAATGTATTAAAGTGTATTAAAAACTGGGTTTCCTCTCTAAGACCACCATTTTTTCCTTAGAAACCAGATAGAAATTTGCCTTTGTTTACAAGCATTTGCCCATTCTGGATCCATATGACAGAGTACCTATGTTGTTGTTAATAATAATAATAATAATAATAATAATAATAATAATAATAATGGATCGTCGATGTCGCAATCCCAGGTGACAGTAGGATTACAGGGAAACAACTGGAAAAGCTGACATATGAGGATTTAGAGATCGAACTGCAAAGACTCTGGCACAAACCAGTACAGGTGGTCCCAGTGGTGATTGGCACACTGGGTGCAGTGCCTAAAGACCTTGGCCTGCACTTAAACACAATCGGTGCTGACAAAATTACCAGCTGCCAGTTGCAGAAGGCCACCTTACTGGGATCTGCATGCATTATTCGCCGATACATCACACAGTCCTAGACACTTGCGAAGTGTCCGACATGTGATCTAATTCAACAGCCAGCAGAGTGTCTGCTGTGGACGCATCTTGTTGTGTTTCAAATAATAATAATAATAATTTATTTATACCTCGCCGTCTCTCCACAGAGGACTCAGGGCTGTAAAACTACATATAAAATGAAACCAAAATCTATGGGACGGAAGGGATGCTGTTTACATCCTGGGTCTACAAACACTCATCCCAAAGTAATCCGCAATGAAAATAAATGGGATTTATATCTTGGTAAACTCACCGGGAGATTGGTCTGTAAGCTTTCAGCTCTCTCTTTCTCACAAGGCAATTTAACTTGTAAAAGTCTGCCTTGGGGCTTCCTAATACTCAAAGGGGAAACATGGGAAAGTGTTATATCCTCCCAGGCTTTTTAGTTAAGTGGTGGAGGAAATGTGGACCAAAAAAAAAGAATTAAAAATAAATAGAGAACATTTTGGGAAGTTTTGGGAAGCCAACTCACAGGTAGTTAATAATAGGCATTCAGTAAAAGAGGGAAAATGGATGCTTATCATATTTGACTATTTCTCCTTAAAGCTAGATATTTCTACTAGTCTGACTAAATCTTGTGTCTCCATTTAAGGAAAAGCAAACCTTCACTCTCAAAAAATCTGATCCCTGACAGCTGGGGCTTTGAGAAGAAAACAAGGATGCACATTAGGACTGTATTTATCCTTCAATACCCTTGCTTCTCTTCCTCCTCAGTGTTTCTTCCTCCTTCACCCAAATTTAGGATGCAACTCAATATGATTTGTTTCAGAGTAGTTCAAGCATGGGATAGGATTGCACTTGCAATCTGTCTTTTGCTGATATTTTCTACGGAACGCACTGTGTATACTGCCTATGTGAGATAAATCAACTACAAACTCGAGTTGTTTTATTATTAGTTGTTGCGTACTGAAATGAAAGTGAAGGTTATAATATCGCAATTATTCAAAGTCTTTTCAGAGAGGAAATACTTGCTCGGAAGATGAAGTCCAAGACAGTATCACCAAAGTGAGCTGAGAACTACTAAGTATAGATTGTAGGGTGTTTTTTTTAGTGTGTGTGTGTGTGTGTGTGTGTGTGTGTAGGTCCTTCTTTTTCTCTCTCTCTTTATATATGCACACACAAGCGCATACTCACACAACACATTAAGTATTTCAAATAAGCTTCCCCAGTAAGACCCAGTGAGCTTATTTTTTGCACACAAACACATCACTGTGTGGTTGCGAGTAGTCTTGAGAGCTGCCACATTTTTTCCTGGTTGTATATTTCACTTGGAAAAAAATTGCACTTACCTGAACTGCGAGCACAAAGAAGGAGAGAGACTGTAATAACATCTAGCACCCCCATTATCGCAGCCACATCTCGTGCTGGATGTCTTGATCTTCAGAGGCAAACCATTTCCATCTGAGAACCCAGTTACAGCGAAACAATACTAAACCAGGAGGGCTAATAGGCTGGGAACAAGGAGAATCGCTTTTGAGCCTTATCTTGCACCACTGTGAAGCTTCTTAAAGTACACTTCATTGATTTTCGGTCAGCTGTCACAGGCTGCAAGCCAAAGAGGAGAAAAAACATACACACAAAAATAATCCCTGGGTCCTAAACTCTGCCTTGTTTGTCCGATACTCAGGACATTCTTCAGAGCTAAAGTTATGTGACTTCAAAGAACACCTAAGAGAGAAAACCAAGTGGGAACCTACACTCAGGACCTACACTCCATTTCTGAGACTGTTTAAGAATGATTTCGAAGGGGTCCCATCATATGACATTTGCCCCATCCCATCAGTATTCTGTCGGAATTCGTCTGCAAAGTGTCACAGGAGCGGATTATTTGCAGATGGAATTCTAATCATGTTTTTTGAAATACTACGGATTATTCCATTGCTGAAACACTACTTTTGTGTGTGATAGGAGAATCTGTATGCATCCCATCAGGAATGATACTTTTTAAAGGTCATAGGGTGATATAGGGGGTGTTTTGAATGGATTTGGTGTGGTGAGTTAAAGTGCAGTATTTTCAAATCATAAGACTTGCAATAATCAGATGTGATGAGGTGAGTCTGCATCCCATCTCGATACAGTATACAGTATGCATCCAATCCGAAAAAATATGAGATGCATACTGATATAAATTGATTATATCCCAATGTGATAAGGTCCTCAATCCCGTGAATGTCTATCCCTGACCTCTGTGCCATATAGTAAGCAATGAGAAAGAATTTATTGTTTTTCCAATAGTGGTCAATAAAACAATCCATTCAGTTCTCTTTTCAAACACTATATCAGTCTGTTCCAATATTAAAAAGGGAAACATCTTTTTCTACCTTCCTTCTTTTTTCTTTCAGTCCTCTGTTTTTTTTTAGATGTACTTTTATCATGGATCACCATTAAATAAATCAGTTCCTGCAACTAAGAAATGTATGAGAAGGCACTGTTTGCCTGCATATAAACTTTATCTGTGTATTGGTGTTGTTTTGGACCTTCAAGGCAACCCTCTCAAAGGATTTATTATTATTATTATTATTATTATTATTATTATTATTATTATTATTTGAAACACAACAAGATGAGTCCACAGCAGACACTGTGCTGGCTGTTGAATTGGATCACACATCGGACACTTCCCAAGTGTCTAGGACTATATGACGTATCGGTGAATAATGCGTACAGATCCCAGTAAGGTGGCCTTCTGCAGCTGGCAGATGGTAATTTTGTAAGCGCCAATTGTATTTAAGTGCAGGCCAAGGTCTTTAGGCACTGTACCCAGTGTGCCGATCACCACTGGGACCACCTTTACTGGTTTGTGCCAGAGTCTTTGCAGTTCGATCTTTAAATCCTTATATTGTGTCAGCTTTTCCAGTTGTTTATCTGCAATCCTGCTGTCACCTGGGATTGCGACATCAATGATCCATACTTTGTTTTTTAACACGATTGTGAGGTCAGGAGTATTATGCTCCAAAACTCTGTCTGAATCCGGAAGTCCCAGAGGAGTTTGGCATGTAACTTTTTCCGGCCTGTGATCCCACCAGTTCTTTGTCGCAGACAGATGGTATTTAAGATCATCTAGGGAGGCCCTGCTTTTGCTCCCGTCAATTGCGCAAATGCGTCTGACGGGGACGAGAGACAGGGCCTTCTCAGCGGTGGCCCCTTGCCTATAGAACACATTCCCAAATGAGGTAAGATCTGCTCCCTCCCTCCTGGCTTTCAGAAAGAAATTAAAATCATGGCTTTGGGACCAGGCCTTCGAACAATAGATGTTTGTAGAGTTTAAAGGACATGGACTAGAATGACAATACTAGTGTATTGAATATAGGAACATGGAACAACGGATTATGAGATTGGATCTTGATTCTACCTATGAGACGCTAATGAGATGTTATAGTTATGTTTAACTGATAGTTTATTATATCATTGTTTTTAACTGTTTTTAACTCTTTTTATGATGATGAGCATTGAATTTTGCTATTGTTAACCACTTTGAGTCACCCAAGGGCTGAGAAAAGCGGTATATAAATGAAGTAAATAATAAATAAATAAATATTTGTGGCACAAGTTCCAATGAATCATCTGAGCAATGGTGTTGTGCCTCTGCTTGTAGTCTGTCTGTGCAATCTTCTTGCTGCAGCTCAGGATGTGATCTATTGTTTCATCTGCTTCCTTGCAGAGTCTATATTTTGGATCTGTTGTTGAATTTTCAATTCTGGCTTTGATGGCATTGGTTTTAATGGCTTGTTCTTTGGCTGCCAGAATCAGGCCCTCCGTCTCCTTTTTCAATAATCAGATATTATTATTATTATTATTATTATTATTATTATTATTATTATTATTGGTAGGAGTTATTCAAAAGAGGTTTGACATGGCCTTCTTCTGAGGCTGAGAAAGAGTGCCTTACCCAATTTCATCCAATGGGTTTCATGGCAGAGGAGGGGTCTGAGCCCTGGTCCCTAGAGTCCTAGTCCAGTACTCAAACCATTGTGCTACAATGGTTCTTTGTATAACATTTTGGGAGGAAAATCTTGGACAGAATTTAGCTGTTAATGCACAAAGTTTTGAAATGTCCAGTGGCTCCATTTATGATTTATTGACATTGGAATGCTGACCATGCTGCCTGCAGGATTCTGTGTCTTCTCCCAAAAACAGATTCAGGTTCAACCTGAGCAATGTGGAGCAGAAAAGTTAATGGGAAAATGCAACCCAAAATAAGTCAAGAAGTAGTCCAGGAATATCTGGCTATTCTAAATGAATTCAAGTCTCCAGGCCAGATGAACTACATCCAAGAGTATTAAAGGAACTAGCAGAGCTAATTGCAGAACCATGGGCAATAATCTTTGAGAATTCTTGGAGAACAGGAGAAGTCCCAACATACTGGAGGAGGCAAATGTTTTCCCTATCTTTAAAAAAGTAACTTTTTGCGAACTTTGTTTATGTACATTTTTGTGACTCTGGGCCTTGAAGTTACTTCCAATTTATGGCAGCCTTAAGGTGACCTTCTCACTGGATTTTCTTAACAAGATTTGTCCCACGGCAGTTTGCCTTTAGCTCCTCTGAGGATCAGAGAAGGTGACTTGGCCAGGAGTACAGGCACATCTAGTGAGCATGGATGGTTGGCTACACAGACCTTTTTTTTCCTCCAAGATTTCCGAGATTAATATTGTTGGTCAGAAGATTGCTCTCATTCTGTGTATGTGTGTGTGTGTGTGTACAGTATTTATGTATAAACTGTAGCAATGAAATATATGGAGACAATATATCACATGAAAACATTTTGTTTATATTTTAAATATATGATTTGTAAGATAAAAACATATATTTCCAAGATTTTTCTCATTTCTAAGAAACAGTACATTACTAATATTGATATTAATAATGTTACTGATACAAAACAACGATGTAAAATGCAAATGCAAGTTGGTATTGCTTTTTTCACATGCAACTCAGAGGTTTCTCATTATGTTCAGGTGACACTGCAACCAACACACTAATGTGTCACAATAAACAGTTTGGAAAGCAAAACTATAAAGTTTAGATGTGAGACCCTCTTTCTTATTTCTACCAAAGAAGTCATATACAACAAAGCCCTTTGTGATGTTGTTATGGAATGGAAGAAATCACAGCTTTGAATGTAAGACCTCAAAAACCAAGGCATGACCCTGTTGAACATGCCATGTTTCCAGGTGACAAGGCTGTATCAACATTCGTTTTGAAAATACAATTTCCTTGTATAGCAAGTGGCATTTCTCAATTATTCTTTTCAGTTATTTTTCCATTTCTCCATGTCACAGGTCACATTTCTTCTTTTCTTGTCACTTTAGCAGCTAAAATGCATTTGCAGGGCATTTTGAGGTGATAATGGATATTATTAAATTTATCCAATGCATCCTCATAAAAGCCTGTGCCTTTTTCTTACCTAAAAGGTACATTCTACTGTCTATCCAAAAGCAAGGAAGTAATGATAATATTAATATTAATAATAATAATACTTTATTTATATTCCACCCCATCTCCCCAAGGGGACTCAAGAAATGCAGTGAAGATTTTTTCACAACGACAACAATAACATTAACAACAACAACAACAACAACAATAACGGAGCATAACACTCCTGACCTCGCAATCATGTTAAAAAACAAAGTATGGATCGTTGATGTTGCAATCCCAGGCAACAGAAGGATTGAAGAGAAACAACTGGAAAAGCTGACAGGATATGAGGATTTAAAGATCGAACTGCACAAGCCAGTAAAGGTGGTCCCAGTGGTGATCGGCACACTGGGTGCAGTGCCTAAAGACCTTGGCCTGCACTTAAACACAATCGGCGCTGACAAATTTACCCCAGTAAGCTGTAAAAGGCCACCTTACTGGGATCTGCACACATTATTTGCCGATATATCACACAGTCCTGGACACTTGGGAAGTGTCCGACATGTGATCCAATACAACAGCCAGCAGAGTGATCTTGTTTGCTATGGACTTCTTGTTGTGTTTCAAATAATCATAATAATATCTTTCTAGACTGCCCTATTATTTATTTATTTATTTATTTATTTGGTATATTTGTATACTGCCTTTCTCAGCCAACTGGCGACTCAAGGCGGTTTAAGTCCATATCTCCCCAAGGAGACTCAAAGTGGTTTATACACACAAAAGGCAAATATTCAATACCTAGGTAAGTGCAAACACATCAAAACAATACAAAATAGTGCACAATAACAAGAGTAAACTTATAATAAAAGGATTCAACATTGGAATGAAAACAAAATGGCAATAATCCAATCAGACAATAAACTAAAACAAGAGTAAACATTAAAACAAATATTCTAAAAAGCAGTTAAAATACATTACATTAAAAATTACTAACACAGGTTTTTATTTAAGATGTATTGTAGCAACCATATGGTACAAATGGGTTAGCCAGCGTTCCAATGGATCAAAGTGTCCTAGTCCTCTTCCCCTCCGTTTTCTAAAGCGCATAAGTGTATTTTTAGAAGTTGTTTAAAGGAGAGGAGGGTAGGAGTCATTTTTATTTCTTTAGGGAGGGAGTTCCAGATATAAGGAGCAATCAGGGAGAAGGCCCCCTCTCTCATTTCCACCAGTCATTCTTGAGATGGAGGTGGGAGTGAGAGCAGGTTCCTCCTCTGCTGAACGCACTGCATAACATGGCCTATATAGGGAGATGCGATTGGACAGACAGCCTGGAC